CGGGATGGGTGCTGGGTGTGGTGGAGGGCTGCTCCGCTGGAGGTGCGTCTCGAACGAGTGATAGGCGGTCAGCCTTGTAGCTGGGCTGTGGTTGGAGTCTCGGTCTCAGCCTCAAGGTTTTCATTCAACGCCAAATCACTCAGGGAACTGAAATTCACATCAGGACAAACAGATTACATTGCCCCTGCTCCTATGTGTCAGTGGAAGCACAGAACTGTTACTCCTGGTACATATGGTTCGCTTCCCAAAGAAGAAAAGTCATTCTTCTGGGAATGACCACTGCGTATGCTTGTTCAGCTGGGTGTCTAAACTTTCCCTTTTTATGCTGAGCGCAAATGAATTGATATCAGTATCAATAACAGGTACTGTCACCTGTTGGCATTGTTGGAACAGGTGCTCACGCCTGTAGAAATACTTCTTGTACGGTTGTTCTAGCACCACATGGGGATCTTCGGTGCCTGAGGTACGGGGTAGCTGCCCTCCTGCTCAGCACAGAGGTGTTTCTCTCCATTGTGTTGCCAGAAGTTCAGAAGCTGGGGAACCTTTAATGCCGAAGTGCAATATCCGCTTAACTAGAGCTTGCTTCCAGGGGTGAGTTATGGCTAGCGTGGGTTTGCACGAGGTTCTCCTCTGTGGTACAGCATACACAGCTTTAATGCACGGCATCCTTCAGGAAGCAGGGAGGTGTGGCACAGTGCAGTTCGGCAATGGACATAGTGCTAACAGCATGGGAAGGCTATGGGTGCTAAGGTGACAGAGCAGCCTTCATAAGCAGGCAGTCCACTGCCTGTTAGAAAAGCTTTCCGAAGTGTTCTGTTGTCTTGTATGTCTCTATTGAGAAAAAAAGTAATCATGTAATGATTTGCTGGTAAAGAAAATAGTAAGTGCCAGCCTTTTGCCCCAGGTGAGCTGAACTTGGGATCTACAGTACTGCTTTTTCAGTTCATGGCACCACGGCATACGTGTATTTTTACAGATAATATGAAATACAGCTGTGTGGACAAACGTATCTATAAGTTAACTGAGTCTTATTTGGTGACCAGCCTGTTAGTATGTCTTTTTGTCTTCTGCTGGCAGTTACAGATGTGATAGCTTACAATCAAACGTTATTTGATCCAGCCTGAAATTAATGCAAATGACAGATCATCCATTACAAGTCCATGAATTTCTATTGCAAATCATAAGGGCTTTTCAGGTGGAAAGCTTCTTTGTGGGGAGAGTAGAATGGAGGACAACTAAGTAGAAGCTTGGGATCTCTGAGGAAGGGGAGCAAGTGGCACAGTTGATGAATTTTTCTGGTAGTCTGCTCCCTGTCCCACTTACAGGAGAGCCACGTAGCACTCCCTCGCTCCCATCTCCTACGTGCACATACGTCCTCTCCACCCCGGGAAAGTGCTTATCTGCATGTAACTAGAAGTTAGGAGAGGGAGCACCTACAGTGACCTCATCTGCTGTGCGCATTTAGGTTAAGCCATGACTGAGATTGTTTGTATGTCTAATAGTGCTACTGGCCTTGTGTCCACCACATTACAGATGATACCAGCATTGTTTTTATTTCTCGGATGGGTTCTCATTTATATATAAACAATATTTTCATGTTTAATAAACCAGTTGGCTTTGGGTGGGAAGTGTGCTTTGATAAAGAAAAATATGTGTGTTTTCAGAACATCTGTAGTAGTCTTATTTAAATAAAAGTAAAGAACCACTCTTTAAATGGTATTTTGGTATGTTTTCCAGTAAACCTGAATTCTGAATTATATCTAAATGAGACTTGATTCTAAGTAATTCATAATTTTCTAATATAATAACCATGTAAAATGGTTATAAAAAAATATTGCTGACTTCAATGTTTACGGGCTATCTCTAGTTAACAAAAAACTCATTCTGATTCTTTGATATAATTATGAAAATAGTTCATAAATGAAGATTTCCTTTTTGCTACTTTAAACTATGGTTTAAGTAAAATTTTTAATTAAACTTGTAATTTATTTTTAAGGGGACGATACACCTGTTCCGCAAATCACAGAGATCATTGGTTGGAAAATTAACACATGAATTTAGGCTCGTTGCAGCAGATAGGAGGGTAAGTATTTCTTTTAAAAAATGAATAATAACAAAGATGTTAGCTGTGATAAGTTAAAATACATTATTAACTTGAGTATATTTTGGTAACATTTCTTTGAAATTTTCCAGCTGTGCTTAAAAAAAAAAATCCAGCTGTGAAGCTGATTCCTTCCTGTGCATTGTCCCTGTCAATTAGTGTTCTCCAGAATTGTACTTATATTTAATGCGTTGAGTAGAACTGTAAACTGAATACGCACAGATGTTTTTGGGACCTAAGTTCCAGCACAAAGAAAGGAACCCACTAATACAAAGTTGTATAAGTCTGTCTTCAAAAGTCAGATGGTGTGTGCTGTAATAAAATGCAAATATTATACAGGGGTGATTTTTTTAGTCTAAGAAAGTATTTTAAGCACAGTGCACAAGCACTGTTTATAAATGAGTTTTGAGACAATCTGTGAAGTTAAAAATAGAATATGGGCTTCTTGTTCTGAAATGAGTTGTAAATTTTTGGGAGGGAGGAGAGGCCAGTTCTGCTTGCATGATGAAGTACTGCAATATTGTTTTTTACAACCAGATAGATATCTTTTTTTCTTGTAAATTTTGGAAGATGTAAAATACATATTTATTCTCATCAACAGTCCTGGAAGATCTTGCTGTTTGGTGCTATAAATTTAATATGTATTGGCTTCCTGCTAATGTGGTGCAGCTCTACAAACAGCATAGGTAGGTGGCTTTCTTGTACGGAAACTACAACCAACTACCATGTGTTTCTTAGCTTGTGAAGTTCCAACATACTAAAAAAGCAAAGTTCAGCACGAAGTGGAGTTAGGTGGCTGCACAGCCACATTTGGAAAGTGCTTCCTTTTGACTTGCTGCAGTCAGTTTAGAGGCATTTCTCACAGGCAGGTGTGGAAGGGTGAAAGTCCTTCAAAGTTTGCAAGGTTTTCCAGACCTGCTGGTTATTTTCTTCCTGCAGTACCCTTTTTATCTTTAAGATCGCAAAAAAGTAGACTTTTAAGCTTGTCCTCAAACCTGTTCCTTATATAAGTAGTACCAGTGACATACAGAGACCCTCGCTTGCAGTTGAATGAAGATGTTTGTAGTGTGGCAAAAGCCTTCTCAATGCCCCTTTTCAATATTTTGTGTATCTTCTACTTTTGTATAGGCTCTCCAAGATGCTTCCCATCATCTGTACCGAAAGTAGAATACCTTACATTTTTAATTTGTGACACAGGCTTTCTTGTAGTTTCAAGATGGGTCGGAGAAGCAAAAGAAGTAAAAAATTCTGTTGAACCTGCTTTTCACTGCAATAATGCACATAAGAGATCTCTTGCTTTGGCGAATGATGCGTTACTAGAAGATCTCCTGACTTTTCTGTATTTAAATTCTTAGTCCCAACTTAGTCACAAGCTTAATACCTTTTGTATCTCGGCATTATTACATGCTTTATTAGAATTAGGATTGCCATAATCAACCTGTTTATGAAGTTAAATATATTGGTGTATTTAGGGCATTCATATTGTATACACATACAAAAGACAGAGAGACTTGCTCTATCAGCAGAGACAATTTATGTGGATAGAACATGAAAAAGAGCTGCACAAGAGGGACTTAGAAGAATACAAGTGATTTCTGCATTGAAAAATTATATTAAGTTTTAATATTTGCTTTTTTTCAGCTTTAACTGCTTACACATATTTGACAATCTTTGACCTTTTCAGGTGAGTTTTTTTTCCCATTTAGTCTTACTGTTCATTTGTACTTGTCTTTGTATATTTCTGTACATATAAATTTATTTACAGATACAAACACATGTTATTTAGAGTCATCAGTATAGAAACACTAACTGGTTTAAATATAGCTTAAATGAGTATAAAATTGTACATCACAATAAACAGATGATGAGAAACACCATAGCTGTATTGACAATGACTAGTAACAAATCAGTTCCGTTATGGATTTCTCTGTGCAGATGCGTAACAACATAAAACAGAATCTAACATCAAACTCTTATCTGGTGGTTCACTTGGAAGATTTCCCTAACACCACAGTCATTGGTTCTGAAGTATCCCTCAGTTTTAGCATCAGGAAACAAGGAGTATGTAATCCTATTTCTATTTCAAACTGTTTCAAGAGCTAGCTCCCGTGCACTGTTCCGATAAGGTCATTAGATATTTTTAGTATTTTTCCTGTTTCCTAACAAAATGATATTAAAACTACTTTAAGTATGAAAGTTTTGAACACTTTTGATAATATTGATAATCCAGACATGAAATATATTCAGTTCTTACCTGAGATGCAGATTGGTAGCAGTGGTTGGGAAATAAACTGCATAAAATGCATGTATTTTTTTAATTATTAACCCACATTATCTTCCTCGCTACCCACTAGCTTATAAAAAGTATGGATCAGCTATCTGCAGTCTGTTTTGCCCACTCCACACTAGAGCTTATCTGACTGATAGTAAAACACTTATAGCAGCAGCAAACATGCAGAAAAGAAAATGAATTGTTGATATAGGCACAAAAATACTTAAATTGATCTGTGACTGTGTTAGAATTGTGATAGAACTTTAATGAATCTCATATTTCTCTTAGAATTTTTATATCTGCTGAGTTTTGTCGTCTTGACTCAAAATATCTTTTTCACCTCGGGGAAAGTTTTGATGTTGTATTTCATATTTGTATAGAATATTATTTTTTTAGTTTTAGGAGAAGATGGAATACCCTTGGCACTGACATATTAGGTTAGTTAGGGGATGGACTAGAAGATTATTCTAACTCAGAGTGTTAGAGTTTTGATTTGCTGTAAAAGAGAACAATGCTCAGTAATTCTGCTGCAAAAATCAATTTCTGGTCATCTTTCTGGTCATTTATAATAGTCTTACGTACTATTTTGTGTATGAGCAGTATTATTTCATCTGCTTTTGCTTTTATTCCACACAGCTGTGGATCGGGTTGTGAGGATGTGATTGTTCAGCAGCTGTGGGGATGAGTTCTTGATCCAGTCTGATTTAGCATTGTCATTAATTAAGAAAGGGCTGCATAAAGGCGCAAATGGCACTGAATCCGGGTGGGTTCCAATAAAAGAAAATTGTTCAAAGGGGTCGGAGGAAAAATAGGCGAAGGAAATGAGACTCATCCTAGAAGAAGTCAGGCTATACCATGGGGATAAAATAATTGCAATTTTAGATGTTCAATATGAGAGAAAAACTTGGAAATAAAATAGCAAGAATGACCTGTGGTTGTCAGTGAATGGCCAGTTAGATTAGAGCTTGTGTAGATGAATGCAGCCAAAAAAAGTAAATCTTTTTTGGCCGTATATGTAGACAAATTACAGTGTGGAAAAGAAGGGCAATATTTGGCATAGCCTGAGACTTATTCTGGAGTGCTAAATCTAATTCATGGTATATCTCTAAAAGAAGAGTTTAATGGAGAGGTTTCTTCACTTTTTCACTGGGATACAAAGGAAGTGACACAAATGTGACAGTCCTGCCGTCTTGCTTATCATGTTCCTTCTCATTTAAATGGCCTTTCTCAGGTTACAGTATTTCTAGGCAAGTTCATAAAGCACATATAAGAGGAGCATTTACTGGGTTTCTAGTCTGGTATTTTCGTAGGCTTTTGCTTCGTACTTTTCACTACTATGTGTGACATTACTATGTGTGATATCAGACCGTGTTGAAAGGATTTTCTCAAACCACCTTTGCCTCTTAGTCTGATTCTGGGATACTTGGTCTCATGTGCTCCAGGTCCCTTTCAGAAAAATTCATGGAGTGATTCCAGATTAAACACCAGCTGTGCTTTTTGTGTCAGGGCCTCAGTGGAAAAATGCATTGCATTTGAAGTTATGGTAAACTTGATTTAGGCTGAGTGATGTTCTATATTGAAGAAGGTTGATGGTAGCCTTTGTAAGCACGGCATGCTGTAAGTACAGCATTAGGCTGTTTCCTGGTGTAAGGAATTAGACCAACTACCATTCTGCTAAAATTATTTGCTGCCCTTTTTATGGGAACAGCTGAGACATTATCGTGCAGTCTCAGTTTTGTTCCCAAGCACAACCTTTTCTGGATTCACTGGAACCCTCACTGTGACAGTGATGGAGGGGCTGAGTTCATGGTAAGACGTGGTTATGTTCATTTGTTCAGTTCTGATGGCTGAAGTGTATATTTGTAGATTATCCAGTTTGTAAAGGCTGCAGTTACTTATCATAGTCTAATTGTCCCCCTTTTTTCAGTTTGGTAACATGTCTAATAAGCTACTGGGTAATGATGAAGAAACCCAGCCCAGTCTATTCATTTGGGTAAGTACTAATAACAAGATCTAGTGTCTGATAATACAGCATTTGATACATTGCTGACTACCATTGCCTGTATCCCCTAACAGCTATGACTAACAATCTGTGTGTAAAAGCACATAAAAATAAGGAGACCCAAGACTGATGCTGTAAATAACAGTTACAGAATGGGGGAGGAGAGGAAAGGGGAGAGACAGGAAAAAGAATTAAGAAATGCTTAATTTTAAGCTGTTTGTGATAAGTGGAGTGCTGGCTTAAAAGTAATTGAAAATAATGCCTATTCCATAAAACTTTCAGTTTCTTCCCATCTCTCTGCTCTTGAAAGAATTGGAAATAGTAGGTCTATCCTGCTGGTTCCTGTACAGACCAGAATGCATTTGATGCAGTGTTCAGTGTTTCTAAACTTAATTCTCAAATTTCAGGTTTGAAAGGTTTGAAGTTCTAGCTGTATTTGCATCTACAGTTCTGGCACAGCTTGGTGCTCTTTTTATACTGAAAGAAAGGTAGGGATATGTACCATTTTCTTTAATTTTTTGTTATGTATGAAGATATTCCAGATTGAGCAAAAGCATATGTATTCTAGAAATGCTATCTGTAGAGAGATATTGTAGAAAAAACTTCAGATTTTTTTAAATAATGCTAAACCTTACTGCTCACTTGTATTGATTACACTACACGTAGGCTTTAGATGAAATGATAGGAATTGATAAATATAATTAAACAGCTTTCAAGGAAAAGACTCAATGTTCTTAAGAATCATATTTTCCACCAAGTTAGGTATTTCATTTAATACATTTCCCTATGCAACTTGACTTTTAAAATTAATTAATAAATAAAACTTTTTTTTTTTTACTTCAGTTACTTCATGAAGTAAAGCAACTTCATAATATATTAAGGATCTGAATGTTTAAACTATCAGCTTCATCAGTCCCTCAAAATTTGCTCAAGTATTAATTTGACATACCATCTATGCTTGGAAGCATTTGTATTTCAGGTTAGCCTAAAAAATTATTTTAGTCTTTAAAAATGAAGAGGCTTTTGTTAACATCTGGAATTTAAAACTGGGGCAGTGTACCTTCCATTTTTCTATTCAAGGGCTCTATTTTCTCTATAAAGGGCTATGTTAACAACTTAGCAATTTTATACTACAGGTTGATCTGTTGTACTGACAGTACACTGAATACAATGAATTCTAATAATGATGCAGTGTCAAAGCCTCCAAGTTTTCAAACATCAGTTTTAGGAAATTCCCAAAACTTATCATAGGTTTTTCTGTTACAGCTGAAGCTCATTTCCTACTTTACTGGGGGGTAAAAAAAAAGATTTGTATCTCCACCACAGTATCCAACATCTACTTTATTTGGCCTTGCTTAGTGAGCGGCTGTAAATCAGGGATTTCAGACTTAGTTTATTGTGGTTACCAACACTGGTGGTGGCAGTAGCAGTATTTTTTGGCATGTTAATTTACAAGCATCTTTTTATTGTATAGGCAGCATTCATGGTAGCTAGCATCTGTGTGGCACAGTTTGGAAATAGTTGGAAAAACTAAATTACACCCTGCTTCTTTTCAGTGTTAAATGCTTTCATCACTCAGAAAAACTGCTGTGCTTATTTAAGCAATTCATTTTTTTGCAGTACTATATCTGTCAGTTTTTGTTTATGAATGGCAGCTAATTCTTCAGAACTGAAAAAATATGCTTCAGGTATCAAGGTTTCATTGTATGATATAACTCAATTTTTCAATTATTTCTGTAGTGCAGAGCGGTTTCTGGAACAACCTGAGATACACACGTAAGAAATTATTTTGACATGTAAAATGATAGTTTTTTCAGTGTCCCTTGTGTTTCTAATTCTTAATCAAGCATGTGTTAATTATGCAAGTACATTCAACACCAAATTGGTTTTGGTACCTTGGCATTTGTTTCAAACTATGTGCAAGCTATATTGCAAACAGTTTCTTCAAGGTACAATTGAAATGTAATGCACACGCTCTCTTAAATAATGATTTAACTATATATTGCTGGGTTTGTTGGTTTAGTTACTCTCATTTCTTATGGAGGCCTCTTAGGAGGCCTGGTATGTGGGGGGGGGAAGGATGCTGTCATCAGTAGGGAGCTGGAGGTGTTGCAAGGATGGTGAAGACTATAAAGAATATGGAGAAAGGAAAAGAAGGTGTTACGGGGCAAAAGACTGGGACCTGGGATGTATGGTAAAGTTGTAGTTCTTCTAGGAAAGGGTAGGGGCATAGAGCATAATTCCATAGGAAACGAAGCTTTTTTAGCTCTACTGCTGAGGGGACAATGTATTTGTATCTTCAAAGGACGAACATGTATGTGTGTGCATATGTGCCATTAGTTAAGAACAGTTACTCAACATTATAAACATTATGTGCAGCCTAATATGATAATATGATGAGTACAAAGTTCAGTGATCTCATATAACCCTTAAAATGATAATACACCGCCACTTTTTAAGCACAGTTTTCAGTGTCAGTGAAAGATACCAAGCAAAGTATTTTGATATTGTTACTAGTAATTATAGCTTGATTTCATGTTTTGTGATGGTGTGAAATTAAGATACTTTTTTTTTCCCCCCCCTCTCTAGGGGGCGACTGCTGGTTGGTACTTTTGTGGCTCTCTTTTTCAACTTATTTACAATGCTTTCCATTAGGAATAAGCCTTTTGCTTATGTCTCTGAAGGTATGTGATAAATTAATCTATAACAAGAATTTAATAACACTAAAAGATTTTAGTGTTCCTATTTTTATCAAGGTGTAATTTGTCTGGTAACTTTCTTAACTAGCAGGTATATATTACTATTACGGCCATTAATATAACTTCATGCAGTTTAGAGTTCCATCTGAATTTCAACTCTAGTTTGCTTATAGGGCTCTCTGAGTAGTATGTAGTCATTAATATGATAAACTGAGTATCACTTTAATGCTGAAGTATCCTTTATTTTCAATCTTTTGGATTCAGCCAGTGAAGGTCACACATATCAGAACTTTGAAGACATTTTATAGATATATTGATAGATGAAAAATAAATTAACATAATAATTCTTCTTAATAGCTCTTTTACCTGGAACTTTTTCACTGTGAAGTAGGCTTGCAATCATTCCCGCTAACCGTAAATTGTTTGTAGTTATATATTATACTTTATATTATATAGAAGATAATTATGATGGTTATAATCTGCAATTATATTTGTATTTAATCAGTTCAGATTATTATGAGAGATGGGCATTTTTCTTATTGCCTGGAAAAGTCAGACTGAGTTTTTTTTCAAGTGACAGTGAATCTGTTGAGATAACATTTATTCATTCACAGTGCATTGGGTTCTTCCCTTAAAAGAAAATTTTAAGTGTACTTTAAAATGGATACCTTTACTTGTAGTAATTTTATTACCTTCTTTTTTTTGCAGCTGCCAGCACAAGCTGGCTTCAGGAGCATGTTGCAGATCTTAGTAGAAGGTAAAGCTTTATAATGTTTTCCAAAATTGTTAGCTTCTGGAAGGCAGTATTGTTTTTTTGTGTATAATAACGATTTGGATGGGTATTGAGGCATAAACTGTTGTGTATTAGAGCTTTTAAAATAGCTTTACCTACTGCAGGTCTAGTGTATGAACTCTAGAGCAAACATTGCCTCTCATATTTCCCAGATGCATCAATCTAGTAGAAATACGTATTTCTGCATAACTTTCCCTTTGAATGTGTTCAGTACGTTGTATGTAATTCTCTTGGATGAGGTGAGGTAAACTAGCTTTGTCCTGTACAGACTTGAACTGCATTTCTCAACAATCATTACCTGAGTGATATATTTTGTAGTAATTTGTGTTTGTTTACTGTGTGGGGTGGGCAAATGACTAGGATGGTTGCAGTTTAAATGTGATATATGAAACAGGTTACTCACTGAAACACAGCTATGGAAACTCCTCACCTGTCCACCAGGAAACTGGAAAGTCTGTGTCTTCCAGGGGCTGAAGCAGTGTTGCTCATTCATCTCGTCTTTTAACTCTCTGCTTGTATTGGATATCTGAATGCGAGATAACATTGTTTGCAAATAATCTTGTCAGATGTCAGAGGTGTTTATTTTGAGCCATACATGTTCTTCCAAGTACTTATGCTGTCAGTATCAAAATAAGAATGTTACGTCATATTGTGTAACATGTTAAGTGTGCTGCAAAGCCCACCTGTTTCTGCGTGTTGTGATTTTTGTATACTGTTGAGGAAAGCAGAGAATGCTGGCTTGTTAAACAGAAAAATTGATTTTATATGGATATAAGGTATTATCAGACCCAAATTCTGCAAAACAGCTTTGGAAGACTAACAATAGGGTTGCCCAAGTACTTGGAGTTTCAGTGTAAAAAAACAACCAAACAAACAAACGTGGATAGCAATCACAGACACTAGCAGACTTTTTCTTTAACGATGTGGTAACACAGTGTTATGGGGAAGGACACAGACGGATAATTTGAAGGGCTCCCAGATCAGGAGTCTAGAATTACTATTGGGTTTTGAGATAACCTGTAGACAATCATGCCAACAATTTTTTAAAAATTATTAAATTTTGTTAGTACATATACAGCTATTTCAGATGTGTTCTGTGAAGCAGTGCTGATTACAAAAATCTGCACCTGTATATAATTATGTTGATTAAAATTGTTACAGGAGCAGACCAGCACATGATGTCTAAACATAGGTTGGTTCTAAACGGAGCAACAAAACATTTCATGTTGTCTTTTTCTTTAAATTTTCCAGTATGTGACATGCACTGACATTGACTGGGAAAGTACAGAAACCCTTTTCTCTCTTCATGCTCCCATTCCTAGGAGATAACTATAAATAAATAACTTTTCCCAATGTTCCCTCATGGGTTTTTTGGTCTCCTCTTATTCAGCTAGCTGGTCTCCTCCCTTCTATCAGACTCCATGAATTATTTAGCTTTGGCTTTAGAACACTTTTGCACACCAAGGTGGCAGACGAATTGAAGACTAGAGATATGCAACACCCCCCCTCCTCCCCCCAAGACTTACATGTACGGAATAGCAATATCTGAACCTGTAAAGTACTTGTGTTGTGTACAGCTGACACAGCTAGCTATGTTACCAGAAAACATAAAGTAGCACAAGATACGTGTTTTATCATGTAGAAAAGCTGTATAAAGATTAGCATAGTATAATGTTTTGTACATGGGAAGATAGACTTAAAGCAAATTTAAGATGCAAGAGTATTTAAGATGCAAAAGTATTAGTTTCAGATATGAGAGATAATGTGGCGTGGATCTAAACTTGATTAATTTTTGCTGACATCAGACTATTATGAAACTTTGAGCAGAATTAGAAGGGCCTTTTCAGTCCTCAGAGACATCATTTGCTGTGACTGCGAGGTGTATTTGAAGTCAAATGCTGAAATAGTGGGTGTCACTCTTTTGCGTTTTGAACTAATGATGAACAGCTAGCTGACAACTGCTTTTTCTGTTTTGTTACAGTATTTGTGGAATCATCCCAGGATTGAGTAGCATCTTTCTGCCACGAATGAATCCTTTTGTCTTGATTGATATTGCTGGAGCCCTAGCTCTTTGCATTACATACATGCTCATTGAAATCAAGTACGTACAGTTGTTGTTTAAAAAAAGTAACTCTTTTTGTATTCAGCCTATAGGAAATTGCATTTTTTACATGAAAGGAATGATATCATCAAAAGCTGTATTTTGTATGAATGGGATTGCAACTCCATGAATATATTCGTCTTTTTTCAAAGATGCATAGTTCAGATGAGATTAGTATGTGTAATATTCTGTAAGTGTGTATAATTTAAAAGAATGAAAAAAGATCAAAAGAAAATTCTTATGCCTTTCAAAAATGTAAATACCTGTTTTTCTTTAAAATTGCTTTTTCTCTCTAGCAATTATTTTGCTGTAGACACAGCCTCTGCCATAGCAATTGCTTTGATGACATTTGGTACCATGTATCCCATGAGTGTCTACAGTGGAAAAGTACTACTCCAGGTAAGGCAGTGTCACAAAACAAGGGTTTTCTGTGGTTTCAGTTTTATTATGTTCTTATTTTTTAAAAAACATAAAATCTGTTTTAAACATTTGAATAGGAAGTGTTCCCAGGGGAATTTGTGATGTGCTAGAAGAATTAAGGACAGTAGAATTACGCATCATGAAGTCATAAGAATTTATTGTGTAATGCCGTGGGTCTCTTGTGTATTTAGACCAGACTTAAAGGGTCTCCTAGTTAATTTTTATTATAACTTTTTTTTTTTCCTTCTTTTTCTTAAAGACAACCCCACCTCATGTGATTGGCCAGTTAGATAAACTTCTTAGAGAGGTAAGTCAGTGTATAATACATGACACAGTGTGCACAGCTAATATTAAATAAGCATTCAGGAATATGAATAGGTTTTGTGAGTAGTCCAAGATGATTGCTAAAGAATTATTTGTTTAATATTATTTTTTAGCTGCATGTAGAAAATATGGATCTTGCTATCTAAGATGAATAGTGTCATTCAGTATCTGGAACAAATCTGTTCAAGTAGTGCAGGCTGTTGTTTTTATTAACTAAATTCGAGCTACTGTTGAAGAGGTTTACAAATGTGAGTAGGGGGAGGAAAAGGAGTACAGGCGGCTGTTGACTTATATATCAAGCATATCAAATTGAGAAAATACTGCAATTTGGCAGCAAGAGTTACTTGAAATGAGTTACTTAAATCCACTTTTTTATGGATTTGGATGTTTAAGAGTAACAAAAGTAGAGTAGATAAGCATTAGTGGCATCATTAACAGACATCGTCCATTCTGTAGTATGGAAGCTTTTATTTCACTATTGAAAATGCTGTACTATTCACCTATGTGTAAAAGTACATTTCTAAAAGGATTTGAAACATTATTTCTAAATTATTTTCATATTTCTGGATGTTTGTGTAAAATTAGGTTTCAACTTTGGATGGTGTCTTGGAAGTTCGAAATGAGCATTTCTGGACATTAGGTTTTGGCACTTTGGTAAGTTATGTTTCTATTGTCTTTTTAGCCTTTAAAAAAGAGTTGTCAGTTACTACTTTAAATTTTTATTTAAATAAAGTAAGATATTTCTTCTGAAATCTTAAATGTAAATTTGATGGAGTCAGTACTCAGTCCTTGTGATTTATTGCAAAACTTCTCTTCCCCTGTTCTTTTTATTTTTTAAGCTTTGTTATTGGTTAATATTATTTATGTATATTGCAGCTCTGGATTAAAGCATGCATTTTGCAACTATAGAAATTATTTTGTATTTTGGCACTGAAGAAAACCCCAAACAATAGTAAAGATGTCTTTCAAATGGTGTATTACTGTAAATTGTCTCAGAGGGGGGAAAAAAGAAACTGTAAACCTTCAGGTACCAAAGGTCTACAGTAGAATCGTATGTTTTCAGCATTTCTGGGGAAGGGGGTGGAAAAACCAACTACAGTTGTGTACTGATATTCTGTAAGCTGAAAGAAATGAAGGGTTTTTTTGTGGTACAAAATGATCACACAGAACTCAATTCCTAAGTTGATGCAGGTATGTTGTGACAGCCAGAAAATTAGACTCTTAGAATTCTTCTTTACTTCTGAATTCTTCCAGTATGCTACCCTTCTTAAAAAAAGAAAATGGCAGCAGCTTTGACTTGCTGAATGTGAAAATAGCTTTCAGTTTACTATTCTGCCACTCAAAATACTGGATCACAGCATTGTTGGATTGATCACAGATACTTACAAAACCTTTGTATCGATATTTACCTATTGGCATCTTCCAGATTGTAGTAGAAACTTCTTCAGACCTGGATATGTTTTCAGCTGCACCATCTGACGTAAAAATGGCTTATATAGCACAAGCTGTGAACCATGTTCTTTATTAAATAGGAACTGAAAAAGCATGTGAAGGGTTCTGGTTTGTGTCCTGTTCTCTTCTGCAGCAGCAGTTCAAGGTAAATGAGATAGTGTAACTGAAAGGAAGGCAGGGGCAGCCCGCGGTTAGATGCAAGTCCAGGAGAAACTCTTAGTCTGAGTTCCACAAGAGGCATTGCTCTGTTCTTGCTAATGGTCCCAATTTGAGCCTGTCTGCCATGTGTGTTGTCCTCTTGTCTGCTCCAACAGCACAGTGATGACTCTTTTTCCTAAATTTGGAATATGGAGTTTGTCTGCACTTTGTTCTGCTTTTGGGTCACTTTTTTTCCCAGCTGTTGCCTTTCCTTTTCTGCCATCACATGTTGTATTTTATAGTTTGGTTTTAAGACTCACTTTTCCTGAATTACGATCTTGATGTATTCATAAGAGATCAATGTGTTAGGAAAGATCAAAATGTATCCTAATTATGGAATTATTAAATAAGTTTCTCAATTTAGTCATTAGTCTCCACTGCAAAAGGTCTTTGCATAATTCTCTCCAGGGTAACTTACTTCTTCTTGAATGCATATGGAGAATCTTTACTGAAGTAACAGTTAACAGCCACCTTATTTTTATCACTTTCTAGGCTGGATCAGTACATGTCCGAATTCGGAGAGATGCAAACGAACAAATGGTACTTGCCCATGTCACTAACAGATTATACACATTGGTCTCTACCTTGACTGTTCAGATTTTCAAAGATGACTGGATCAGACCTACCTTATCATCTGTGCCTATTGCAAACAATATTCTGAACCTTTCGGATCATCATATTATTCCAATGCCATCTTTGAAAGCTGCTGATAATTTGAACCCTGTTACGTCCACTCCAGCTAAGCCCAGCAGCCCACCGCCAGAATTTGCTTTTAATACACCAGGCAAAAATGTGAGTCCAGTCATCCTTCTAAACACTCAGACAAGGCCCTATGGATTGGCCTTTAATCATGGATCCGCACCGTACAGCAGTGTACTCAATCAAGGATTTGGAATACCGGGAATGGGAGCAGCTCAAGGATTCAGAACTGGTTTTACAAATGTCCCAAGCAGATATGGAACAAACACTCGTGGGCAACCCCGACCATAATAAACACCATTATTTATTGTACTTAAGGGTATTGACTTAATTCTTTTATTACCCAATTTTTATAAACATTTGGAATGTCAGATCATTCTAAATGGCTGGGAACAAGTGCATTGTTCATATTCATGAAATGGTTAAAATGCAATTTTTTTCTTTGCATCAGCAGTAGCTTGTGTAATGCCACAAATATTTTCCAGACTTACGATACTTTACAGGTAGTTTTTATAGAGTATCTATTTCTATTCAGCTTTTTATTCACTTTTCTTTATTTTCCCAAGAATGTATTGAGATATAGCACAACTCCATAAGAGAGTAAAATGGTGACCAGGTAGCATTTTTTTTCTAATGAGAATCGCTTAATGAATGCTGAATAGCGGAGAGAATAGGAAATTGCAGAAATACAAGTCCCAGTTTTTAGAGATGTTTTGATTGCTGTATTAAGCCATCTTTTGGCAAAGTCACAATTAGTTTTTGGTTGCAAAATCCATCAGTATTCATATTGTGGCCATTGTGAAGACAATCTGGCATTTCAGATTCTTACTAATTTTGTGAGACCATGTTTCTACATTTTTATTGATGCTTTTATAGAAATTCAGATGGTTCAGCAACCATTTTCTAGTTGTAAGTATTCCATATTCATCTCTGATATTTCTTCCTTTTTGGTTTAACTGCAAAATTACTTAGCAATATACTGGGAAATAAAATATTTCAAACTTAAGATTTTACAAGCACCTCTTTTTTACGATTAACCCTATTTAAGATACAGAGCAGATGGCTGTATTGTTTCTGAAGCCAGTATTTCATTTTTGACTATGGAAAGTATTCTGTGATTCGATTGTGACTTTGTATTTTCCCTCTTTGTATTTTTTCTGGAGTTTCAGGGGAAAAAGTATCTATTTATATTCCTGGTTTATATCCAGAGTACAGGTCAGTGATCACTGACAGTCATTGTTAGAGTGCTTAACCTTTGGGGCACACTTGGAACAAGACTGCCTAACTTGTCTCTGCTTTTGCATTATCATTCTGCTGTACATCTAGAAGGCCATATTTCTTCAGGGCCTTTCTCAGAGATCTCTTCCCTCTGACTGATGTATTTCTTCACTGCTCTGATAACAGGGAAAGGCCTTTTAGAAATACTTCAATTTTTTTCTGTTCTGTGCAGTATGTATCTCTCAATTCCCTAGCCAACACTTCCTCTGCACTTTCTTCTGCATCTCTTGGCTGTTGAGGAATGGGTTGCCCATTGCTATTGTTTCACTTGCAACTCAGGGTGCTATATATTGGCTTCCACCTGTTAATCTGTATACTAAGTCTCTCCATTTGTCCAGGGTGGTTATATGGAGCTGTAGTGTCTCAGGGACTCCAAAGATATTAATATGTTACCTGAAGATCATGGGTCTGATAGAGAAATCTTCCTCTTGTAGAACTGAGTTGAGAAAACAGCCTTCATTTGCATTTTAAAGATCTGTGGCCTCTTCACGCTGGCTGATGACTTCTTTTTCTGCATAAGGACGTTGCTTTCCTCTTTTCTTTTTTCCCTCCACTACCTGTGTTTCTTGCTCCAATGCATGGAGGAGGGCGTCACTCTTGCAAACGAAGCAAGGTGACATTCTGCATGATGGTATCTTGCCGGGATGTTTTAGGCTGAGGGTAGCGTCCAGACTGCCACTGGTATACAGTCCATGTAACCTACAAGTAGGGAATCTAGTTCTGTACTTCATTTGCAACAAGTGTAACAGTTTCATTGCTGTGTTAGAAAATGTAATGACCTGGAAAACTTGCATTTAAAGATTACAATGAACTTACAACCATTGGGTATGTTTCTATGAGGTCAGTATTAGCTCAGTAATCACCTTTGTTTCATTACTCTGTCTTTATATGTAGTCTATCACACGTGCCATTGCTGCATGGAAATTTGCTGAAGTACAGAACACTTGAACAGATTCTCTGTACCTCTTGGGTGCTGAACTAGACTGCACTCTACAGCATCTGCAACACCTTAGAGCCAGCAGAATGTTTACAATATACTACTCTCGTGTGGCCTATTTGAGAATTGTTCCTTACTCCAGTTTCATAACCAAACGCTTGTCCTTTTTCTGACATTTTAAATACATTGTATTATATTGATTGCATGCCTATTTGTTTTTAGTAGAAAATTAAAGCTCCATTTTATTAAAAAATGAAGCTGATCTTTGATTTAAAATGAGAAGGGAGAATGAGGATCCCAGAATTCTGAGTGCAATATAATCACTTTAACAAAATTTTTTTTTTTGGAGTGATTGTTTACAATATATATCATATGTGCAGATGATAAAGATTCTTTTAGAGATTAGAACAGCTTTTTAGCTGCTTTATTGTTATGAATATATTAAGAATATTTGTTAAATCAGCACAGAGTAAAATGTCTCCTTTTATACGAGGAAAATAAAATCAGTGCCATTCTTAAATGACAAGGAAAAACTGGTAATTTGTGTACAAGATTTTATAGTTATCTTTTTATATATATTGATTAAGTGATGCTCTCGGGTGATGCTTCAATCTCGATGAGCAGATATGTGAAACTTCAGAACTGTTTTGCTGGGTCTGCTACCAATGTCAATGGGGTCCTTGTAATAATTCTACAGAAAGCATTTTTACTGCATTTTGTCTTTTCTAATTGTATTTTGCTCTTAGGTGGTCACAATTTAAATGTTTAATTGAAATGTGGTGAATAAGAATTGCTAATTTATATCATCTTCGTTCCTAGTGATAGGAATGCTGCCCCAGCTAGAGAAAAAAGAGGACTGGTACTCGCTATCATTTCTGTCTACCAGAGGATTTGGCATTGTTACTCCTTTAACTTGTTCCAACTGTGATTGCATAGGATCACTTCACTTGTAGGTAAATGCGTCAAGCTTTAGAGAATCTGGGGGGCATGTGCCATTACTTAGGCTTAAGATTCTTGTGAAAAACTGCATTGTCCTGATATAAAAGGAGCTAGAGCGCCTACTACAATACAAATAACTAGTGTAATATGAGGGGGTTTTGCAGCTTTACCTATTGAGTAATGGCTCTTGAGTTCATTCTGTTCTGCGTTCCCTTCATCCAGGTAATAACCACATACACCTTTGGGAGGACTCTGACAAGCCAGTGACAGCCTCTCGTGGGTGGTAGATTGATGATTTTTATTCCCCCCTCCGCCTTGACTGAGATGTGACAAATCCTGTTCAAGGAGAGAACCTGTGCAGCAATTCTGCTGATTTGTGTAATTATTAGATTAGTTGAAGTCCCTCAGTTGATTTCTGTCCCCTGCTGCCACCATCCAACAGGGACAGAGAAACTATGCAGGGATAGGTTCTTAACATAAAGCCTGTCTCTGAATTCTGAAGTGATTATCTATACTGTGCATGTCCTACAGATCTGGATACTTAGTGATATTCAATGTTGAAACTGCGAGTGGGAGATACTAGTCCTGGTCTTTTCACTTGTATTTTTTGTTTTCCGGGTATTTTGTCAAATGGCTAGACTTTTTTCTACCTGCTTGTTCTCCTCTGCCTTAGTAGCAGTGAGAACCCACCTTGCACCATGTCTCTGCTTTACTGACTACTTCAGGTTCTTTTGCTTTTGGGAGCATAGATTCTTGGATTCACATGATTACTGGGCTGATCTACGTTTTCCTTCCAGCAGTTATTTTTTAAATGAATGACAGATCATATAGATTGCTAAGATGATGACCCTCCCCTCTTTAAGTAAACCCTTTCAGGGCTTACATCCAGTTAAGAGAAGGCCCTCTTTACCTGTACCAAAAAACCTCCCAAAACCAAAACAACAACAACAACAAAAACCAAAAAAACTTACAAAAACCTAAGATAAAAAAAAAAAGCAAGCCTCTTCATGTTTTCTTTGTGTTTTGAGAACCATTGAATCATACTACACCAACCTGTATCTTATTTCTTTGAACTAAGTAAACATAACTCAAGAGAACTGCATGCTCAGGTAGTGAGAAGTAGGTAACAAAATTGACATGCCAGAGATTTGGTGTACTACATGGTTAAATTATGGTTTCAACTAACTCTAATAGAGATTTTTAAAAATTAGGCTTTTCCCAGTTATAACAGCCCTCTGACCCCACATTTCATAATGAAGCCTATTTTAAGTTAACTTTCAAATTCTTGAAGAAGCAGAGTAGCAGTGCACACTGCAAATGCATACTGCATTTTTCAGAGGCCCTGCAAAGTGTGAAGAACCATAAGAGTTCACCTGTAAAAATGAAATTAGCCACACAAACTAATGTTTAGTATTTCTGTATATAGCCATTTTGTTACCTTTTTTTGCCACTTAGGAGGGTGCAGTAGGTGCCTTATACTGCTCAGAGTATTCAACTTCAGAAGATTTAATTTAGTTGTTTAGAATGTTTTCTCATGGGCTGAAGTAGAGGAGAAATGATAGCAAAGAGTTCAAATAGCTTTGATGTATTTACAGAGATGTACAGTAATATCTGAAAATAAACACATCTGTCCAATTTTTAGAATTTTCATTGTATTCTATTTCAGAAGTTGCATGCAAAATAGAAACATTTCTCACAAATGTTAAAGTGATGGGAAAACATAAAATGCTTTTGTTTCATCTTGAGCAACAAAACCAGATTGAATGTCATTTTCAGGTTGTCCTGTCATAGTAAAATTTTACAAATTTGCATTGCTGTAAATACATGCTTCTATTTACATATTTTTAAAGTTGCAATATTGTCTTAGGTTCAGAAATGTTTGCTTTAGGAAAATGGTAAAATACAGGCCAAATCTGACATGCCTACAGCTCCATAGGAACCTTACTTCCTTTTTAAATCTCTTTGCCCAGGATAGAACTTTCTAATGGAAGAAGTTTGGAGCAGTAAAATACTGACTTGTTTTTTCTCAGTTCATCCTCTACCAGCTTGATTTTTTTTTTTTTTTTTTTTCTTTTCCCTTTCTTTCTTCAAATGCTCTCCTCTTTTTCTCACCAGTGGAAACCGTAATTCTGTATGTGCCTTTGAATACTGTTCTTCTGGCTTCTCCTATTGATTTCATTCCAGACTAGATTTTTGCCAGTGTGTTATACTAAATTTATTGAATAATTCCAGTATGGAATGTAAAAGCACAGGGTTGTTACACTGGTGAGTATCTTTGTAAGTACCTTTTTCTGACATAGGCTATGGCTTGTCCTTACTTTTTGGTGCTTAAACCGTCTTCTTGCTTCTGACTCTCATACTTACTTTACTCTTGATAGATAGCACTTTGCCTTTAAAATTATATTTATATAAAACTATAGTTTCTAAGTGATCACTTTTCTAGTATAATTACTTCTGACGTAATCTGTATTAAAAACAGCAGGTTTGTTTTGGTTTTTTTTTTTATTTTGGGTCAAATTGTGAATGATTCTCACATGAATGAATGGTGTGTGCTGCGGCATTGCTCCCACACACCACCTACTCTTCTGTTTCTATCTCCTGTGTTGCAGTCAAAGCATGATGGAAAGCCCCACATACCTTTCTCTAAGCATGACTCCCCACCACCCTTCTCCATCAAAAAGTATCCAACAAACGACAGCAAGAAAATTGAATTTGGGTTATTTCTCTGTTTCCTGGTGGCCTGTTGTCTGCGGACAAGAGCCTTTGCAGCCTTCCTTGTAGGGGAAGGAACAGAGGGAGCAGAGAGGATTAAAAATCCCTTCTGCGTGTCAGGGGTTCTAGCAACTCAT